GGTATGCTTTGAATGCTAAGAAGGTTTCACGGCCAATTTTAATTAGCCCCTCATTTCTTGCTGTAGGAGGGTGGACTATGCTGCCTGTTAGCCTCAGAACATAATCATAAAAATGTTAGTAATGTCACAATACTAAAAGGGAAGCAGTAGGATTGTGAAACCTAGGAGAGTTATATTTTAAATAATCTTGAACCCCATATTCCTTTGAATCTTCAAAGAAAATTAAATGAAAAGGCATGCTTATTTATAAAAGGTCTTCCCTTTTCTCCCCTGCGGCTCATAATAGTTTCCGTCTTACTTTTCATTTTATTCAAACTTGATTCAATTGTAATTGATTTTGTTGTAAGGACAGGATTGGGAGTTCAATTCTATTTTTAATTTTTTTCTAGGACAACTGGGACAATTAGTCCTCCTCACCCCCAGAATTAGGGATTGAACCAAGGACCTCACACATACTAGGCAAATGCACTATCATTGAGCTGTAGCCCCAGCTTTAGTTCTTCAGCATCATTTATGAAATAATTTATCTTTCTCCCCTGATATAAAATGCCACTTTTGTTATATATAAAATTTTACTATATAGTTGGGTTTTGTGGAAGAGAGTGCTAGGTGTTTACCAAATCTGTCCCTTCTTTTTCTGGGCACGTTAACAGGGTGCATTTCCATTTCCCTTGCAGTGAGGAATTGATGGGCCAGGCACATGCTGGCCTCCCAAAGGTAATCCTCCATCCTTTTCACCTTTATGCTAGGTGAGATGAAGTGTCCTCTAGGAAAACCTTGGAAACTACATGTTGAGAATGGCAGAGCCAAAGATTCAAAGAGTCCAGAATTATTGCTTAGAGGAGAGTCTGCTGAGCAGAGACACATATTAGACTTTTTGAAAATGAGAAATAATTTTCATTTTGTATGAGCTGTTGTTTCATTTTTGTTAAGCCAGCTGTCCTTACTTTAACTAATTTAGGCCTATTTCTGGATCCTGTTCTTTTTCATTCATGTTTGCTCATCTGCCAGTACTATCCTGCTTTAATTAATATAATTTCATAATGTATTTTACTCCCTAGTGGTGCTAATCCCTTTATTAACTGGTATTTTAAATTTTTTTTCTGGTTCTCCTTGCATCATTTTTTCATCTGAACTTTACAATCAGTTTCATTAGTTAAAATACAATCGCCAGCTGGCTGTAGTGGCAGGCACATGCCTATAATCCTGGAAACTTGGCAGGCTGCAAATTCAAGGTCAGCCTGGGCAACTTAAGAAGAAGATCTTGTCATAACATAACACAAATAAAATAAAATGATGAAATAATTAAATGGAATAACAACAAAAATAAAATAAGTAGGCAGGGGGTGTAGCTAGGAAGAACCTCTAGGTTTAATCCCCACCACTGCCTAAACAACAAAATAACAACAAAAAAGACCTCCTTGGTTTATTTACTGAAATTACATGTAGAGTTTGATATAGGTAGCATTGACATCTTTACAATCAATATTAATTCTTACACAGGAACAAAATATCTTTCCATAGTCAAGTTTTTTTCTTCGTTTACAATCTTTACCAACTTTACTATAAAGTTTTATTTATACAGTCTAGTTAGTTTATTCAGTTATCTTTTTTTAAAGACTTTTTTAAGTCTTCAAAATAAATCTTCTTTCTATGATATTTTATAACTGGTTGTTGTTTATATAGTAATCCTGCTAGGATGCTGTGTTGTCTTAGAATGATGTCAAACAAAAATTAAATGATGAGTCTGACATCCAAGAAAAACACTTAAAAGCAAAAAAATCTTAAAAGTTTAAAAAATATCTATATCGCATAGCAGAAAAACAAATTATTTAGGGGAGATTTGTTGTTCTGGAGTAATTCAGTCAAAGCATTTTCTCCTTTTTCATTAGGATTCCAAAGAGCTGTTAAATTTATAAACTTTTTAAAATGCTTTAAAACCAGCTTATAAACTATTGCAAAAATTTAGAAAGTATTTAACAAGCAAATATGGTCATGTTGAGGTTGAATGAAGCTCAATGGACATCATCAATATTCTCCACTAAGTTTCTAAATAACTTAGAACTTGGCACATTTAGGCAGATGGAGATACATGTATATCCTCATTAATAATAAAACTGATGTTAGAGAATATGGCTTAAGTCTGTCATCAACAGCTTCCTAATGCTGCAACCTAGAGACTGTCATCCACTGGCACCACTGAGCAACTGTAAGCCTCTTCCACGGTGTCGGCCCTCGAAAACCTGCGGCCTGGGAGAATGCGTACTTCTACAAGAAGGCATCCTGAAATTCTCTTTTATTCTTCCTTGCCCAGGAAGGTGTATAAGTGCAGACAAGGCTGAGGTATAACAGAAGGTATTTCTATTCCTCTCAAAAGAGAGGAATAAGTGTCACTCCCTTATATATTTTTAGGAATCAAAACTATATATACACAGTTTTTTTGGATATTAGTATCTAATGTTAGATTTTAAATTTTAGGCAGAAATTCAAACTAAGTGTATTTTTGGGTCATGCTTACACAGTATTGTGAAACATGGTTCCTATTAGGTCTTACCTAATCCATAAGAGATAACATCATGAACACCTGACCCTCTCTGACTACATAAATAAAGATTAAAAATCATGGGCTGGGGTTGTGGCTCAGTGGTAGAGCGCTTGCCTGGAATGTGTAACGTACTGGGTTCAATTCTCAGCACCGCATATAAATAAATAAAAAATAAAGGTTCAACAACTAAAAAAATATTTAAAAAGATTAAAAATTGTGAGTAAATGGTTTGCTTGCACCAAATGAAAGAGAAAGTTTTAAATTATGAATAACTCTGCTTAAAGCCCTCTGTTACTTCTTTCCTTATGAGAAAGGGTCTACCTCCTGAAATTCTGCTATTCATAGAACTATCATGATAACTCCTGGGGGGATTTAAGAAATTAGTATTCAGAGGAGAGATATGAGAAGAGCAGCTGGGACCTGGTACAGACATCACAGGGTATTCTATGTAGGGCTGAATTTGTAAATAGCTAGTGTTTACTGAAAGATTCCTGTGTGAGGGGCTCTATGTGCATTCTTCTTCACACTATCCTGATGGGTGAAGTTGTATTGGGGAAACTGAAGCTGGGCATGGTGGCATACTCCTGAAAACCCAGTAACTCAGGAGGCTGAGGCAGATGGATTGCAAGTTTAAGGCCATCCTGGGTAACTTAGTGAGATCTTGTCTCAAAATAAAAAGGGCTGGGGATGTAGCTCAGTGGCAAAGCATCCCTGAATTCAATCCCCAGTACTGGTGGAAAAAAAAAAGGTGGGGGACAGCTGAAACTTAAAGAGGTCTCACAGCTAGAACAAAGAGAAGGGGGCACTGGAATCAGGAGTTGGCCTCTATGCTACTATGCTCTATTGTATTTATATTTCTATCATGAAGTGTCTTACTTGGCTAGATCTGGCCATAACTCACCTTAAATGAGTACCATGGCCTCTAAGCAGTGCTGAAGGCTGCTCAGTAGGCTTCAAAGAGCTTACTGCTGTGGAAGAGTGGTACTGAAATTAGAAGTCATGGTAGGGATGCTCTACCTGATAGAAGTAGCTGTAGGCTGGTTATTTGGGGAAGGCTCTCAAAAGAAGTGAAATCGTGTTGCCTCAGCCTTGTCTTAACCTGTTTTTGAATTATAGGAACCAAACTTCCAAGTACTAATTTGCAGAATGCCAGCTAACTAATTTACAGAAATATAGACACATCCTTCTAGTATATAATCAGAATATTCACTGCTCAGAGAACTTCTAAAATTCAATGTTCATGGAAACCTCCTTTGTCATCATAACTTCATCTGTTGAACTCAAGTGAGAGTAAAGGGAAAGTCTGGTGCTGCTGTCTGTAGTCCTACGAATGCAACCAGAACTATGAAAGTACAGAGGCAATCTAGGAAAAGGAGCTGAGGAACCAGCACAACAGAAGTGCTACCACTGAAGGGGGCAAGGGTGCAGGGCACAGTGGGATTTATAAAGCTCATCCTCTTGCTTATATGTGGAATCCAAAAGAAGAAAGGTGAACAGTGAGTGGGGTACAGAAAAATGGTAAACGGTGGTTATCATAAGCAGGGAGCAGGGGAGAGGAGAAAATGGAGAGGTTTAGGTTAAAGGATCCAGAATTGCAGGTGTGCAGGATGAGATCTAATATACAACGTGAGGACTTAGTTAAAATAATATTTGGGATTTTTGCTGGATGAGTAATTTTAGGTGCTCTTACCATCCGCCCCCACCACGAACACTATGTGAGTAGTCATATTAATTTACTTCGTTACACTTATCATTTCACTATGTATATATGTAAGAACATATTGTATGCCCTAAATATATAAGAAAAATGTATTTCTGAAAGAAGTCCAACAAAACCTACTTGAATTTCACAAAAGCACTTTCTCTTAAAATACATAGTGCAGGGCTGGGGTTGTGGCTCAGCGGTGAAGTGCTTGCCTGGCATGTGCAAGGCCCTGAGTTCGATCCTCAGCACCACATAAAAACAAATAAACAAAATAAAAGGTAAAAAAAAAAAATACATAGTGCATGAAAAGAATTTTGTATGCACACACCTGAAACTGACAGTGAACAATTGGCAGTAAAATGGATCAACTGCCAGTGATCCAGGACTACTACTGCTAAACAAAATAAAGATCAGAAGAGATTACTACATAAAGATTGAGAAATACTGACTAAGCTTCATGGGAACCTGGAACACATAAAGACAGATATATACAGATATCATTTCTAAATTATCACTCAGATTAATTAATAAAATTATCACTCAAGAGTATTAGCAAAGGCTGGACTTTTTAATGATATCTGTATGTTTCCCTGATACGTACTTAGAATGCAAAAGAAGAATATCTTGAGTAAATATCTTCCTATTTGGAATGTGCAGAAACATAATTTACTAATCTGGTTTTATTCAACAAGCGGGGACTAAATTTTTTTCCTCAAAGACACAATCACAGAACAAGAGAATTAAACAATCTGAGTGTTCCTGTAACAGAATTTGATGTTTTATTCAGCTTGAATTAAAGCAATGATAAATCACACTTGAGTTTCAGACTTATAAGATCAATGATATCAACATACTGTGATCAGAAGCAATTAATTAGTGCTACAGTTTGATTTAAAATCTTTTAAACTTTAGGACTGGGGATGTAGCTGAGTGGGAGAGTATTTGTCTTCAACGTGGGAGGCCCTGGGTTCAATCACTAGCATTGAAAAGAAAAAAGAAAAAAACAACCCCAAAATCTTTAAAATTTCAAAACACATCTTTTAATTTCTTTTAGCACATAAAATAATTTATTCATGAAAGTTATGCCTATAATTTAAAATAAATAAATAGCACAATTTTGCAATTCTGATTTTTACAAGAACATAAACCTTTCTGGAATATAATATTTTACCAAATTGGAAAGCTAAGTAAATTCAACACAAGCATTCAAAACCATCAGACTTTGGAAATCAACTTGGTGATAAGAAAAATTCATTGGAATACATAATCAGTGGGAAAATGGGGTCTGGTGCCATCTACTGAATGACCATAGTAATATGTTCTTGAATATTCATAAAATTAGGTAACCCTATGATTTTAGCTACATACAACTTACAGTTGTGGATGAGTGCTGTTTTCTTTTGTCTTTACATGCCATTTTATCCTTTAAAAGAAGTGAAATTAAATGGTAGTTAAAATGGTTACTTAACAAAGGGCATACTGAAGAGCAGGATGCTTTGGCAAATTGGGAAAATAAGAATTTCCATGATTAAGAGTGTCTCAAGAAGGGTTATCTTATTTTTATTTTAGGCAGGAACTCATAGGGGTAAACACCTGTTGTGGGAGGGGTGGTGAAGACACATCCCTTCAAGCTGTGTTTTTGTTTGTTGTTGTTGCTGTTTCAGATAAAGCTTCCCAGAGAAAAAAACGCATGAAACCACTTTAAACTAGCTCAAAATCACCAAGTTATTATTCAGGGTGACTTAGAGTGAAACTTGCTCATTATAATATCATAATGTTAAATTCTCCACCACAGAGGCACTCTCATCCACCATTTCAAACATGGACCCTGTGAAGAGACTGACCTCTAACTGCCATGTGCAGGAATGTGCTTACCACCTGTGATAACAATCCCCCCTAGAAGGTGCACACAAGCCTCTCTCCAGTAACACCACTTCATTCCATAAGAGGCACTATTTTGAGATAAGATCTCTAGTGTTCTCCTTAGCTGTTGCAAGTAGCAAGCCTTTCTTGATTCTTTCATCTCCTGGTTGTGCTTTTTGGCTTTGTGCTCATCAAGGGGTGAACTCATTTTGTTTGGTTGTATTATGAGGAGGCTGGTGGGGAGACAATTGTATCCTTGGGTATTTATGGCAGGTCAAAATTAAAGATTTAATTTTTTCTACTTTTTCATAACAAGCTGGGTTATTTAAAAATTTATCAACTCAGACTGTCAATAAAATGGCATTTAAATAAAATGGAACAATGATAACTGATACCCACAATGACTATTAGGATGGGCAAAAATCCCTGAAGCACTTTTCTGGTTAGCAAAACCAAAATCAAAAGGTTTTTTTTTTTTGTAGTTGTAGATGGACATCAAACCTTTATTTTGTTTATTTTAATGTGGTGCTAAAGATTGAACCCAGTGCCTCACACATGCTAGGCAAGCACTCTGCCACTGAGCTACAGCTCCAGTCCCAAAAAGTGAATTTTTGTTTGGTAAATAAAGTTCATTCAACCAGGCCCTGCCCCTATCACCCCCAATACTGCAGACTGAATTCAGGAGCGCTCTAAAACTGAGCTATATCTTCAGCCCTTTTTCATTCTTTTTGAATTTTGATAGGGTCTTGCTAAGTTGCCAAAGCTGGCTTACAGCTTGTGATCCTTGTGCCTCAGCCTATCAAGTTGCTAGGATTATAGGTGTCTACTACCACCCCCAGGTTCAGACCTCTTTAATAAAACAGTGACGGAAGCTAGGCTGGGAGAAGAATGTCTGTAATCCCAGCAACCCATGAGGCTGAGGCAAGAGGACTGCAAGTTCCAGGCCAGCCTCAGCAACTTAGTGAGACCCTGTCTCAAGATAAAAAAATAGCAAGGGCTGGGGATATAGCTTTGTGGTAGAGTGCCCCTGAGTTCAATCTCCGGTCCTGCAAAAAATCCCAAACCAAAAATCAGAATCACAATGCTAATATTCACTTATAAAGAGAAATGAAGTTGTGATTTGTGGTACACAATGGATGATCCTTGAAAACATGCCAAATAAAAGAAGCTGGTCACAAAAGAACAAGTAGAAAGTGGTTGTTTGGGGTGGGTGGGGGGCAGGGAGTGAATAAAATGGGTGGATCGAGTGATGGTATCTAATACAGGGTTTCTTTTTGAGGCAATGAAAATGTTCTAAAATTGACTGTGATATTGGTTTTGCATATATTCAAAAGTATATTAAAAATCATTGAATTGCACAGTTTAAATGTGAATTGTATGACATGTGAATTATATCTCAACAAACCTATTTTTGAAAAAAAAAATCACAATGCTGAGAGCATTACTGTCTGGCCACAATCCCAAGAGTCTTGGAAAGGCTAACTTCCTGTAACATTTTCATGGACTGGTAAAGGTTTATTTTTCTTGGTAGTAGCTTTTGCGAATGTTACTTTCTATAATGTCCAGAATATTCTGAGTACTAAGAGCATGCCTAAGATATATTTGTGGTTGTTCTTTCTCTCATAACATTGTTCATGACCCATAATTTGCTTCTCATTTACCTCTTCCAAAAGGGCAGGGCCTTTCTGTTCATTACCACACACCCGCACTTGTTAATGTCTGGCACACATAAATGCTTAATAAATGTCAGCTGGTTGAATGGATAAATAAATGTAAGAATGAATCTCATACAGATCAATTGACCTGGGAAGAAGGAGAAGAAAAAAAAATCCTCATAAATAAAGACAATAAAGAAAAGAAAGATAAGCAACAGCTGGGATTTGATGTAACAAAACAAAACAAAACAACACCCCCCCCCCCCAAAACCCTGCCTTTGTTCAATTGATATTTGAAGATGTAAAATATCTGAAAGATTTCAAGTGATAGTAACATAAAAAGTGTTCTCTGGAAGACTTATTTACAAATAAGTTAATGAAAACTCTATTACTATAATAGGATGTAACAAGAACCTAGTGTTTTGTATATTTCAAGACGTAGAATATTCTGCTGAATATACCAGGTGAGTGTCTAGAGTCCCATAAAGGGAGTGCAGCACACTGAGGATCTTTTCTTGAATGGTGTCAACTTGTTCAGAAGGACAGTAATCATCCAGACTTGACCTGGAACCAAGAACAAAAAAGAGAAAAAATATACACAAATATAAGATAAAAACCACACTGTGAAGAAGGAAGAGGCTGCATGTGTTGATTTCAATGTAAAATAGAAATGTAGGTGTATTCAATTCTTTCAACAGTTGAAAGTTAATAAATATTTACCCTGTCAGGCACTTTACATGAATTTTGTTCCTTAATTTTTTCAGCAATTCTATAAAACAGGTACAATTACCTCCCTATAAAGGAAATTAAAACAAAGAAGGATTAACCTGTGCAAGGTCACACAGTTAGTAAGTAAGTGCTAGTGACAGGTTTCAAACCATGTGATGTGATCCTAAGTGCTTACTAACTACTACTCTTCCCTGAAAGGGAGATGTTGCTGTAGGGCACAGAAATTTATCATCTCAGTGACTGGGTGTCTTTCTTACTTTTATTATGTTTACGCTAGGGCTAGAAATGAGTAGGGTAAAGGTTTTCTAGTTGATGAAAGGGTTCTACTTCTTCAAACAATTTGTTAATCCCATAAATGGAAAGGATCCATGGCTTGGTCCAAAATGAAATGCCGGAATTTGATGACATTAGGATTAATTTCCTATGTAGGATGAAGGAGAATGGAGCAAAGTGGGGTGGGCAGCAATTTGTATTTTGGGAGTCTTTTTAGAATTCCCTAAAAACAATTTGAGTTGCACTGAGCAGCTACAATGTTACTGACAATTACAGTATTAAGATGTGAAAAGATTTGATCAGTGACACTTTGTTCTAGATTGGGGTGAGGAAAACCGTTTAGAGTATGAATGGAGAAAGTGGCATAGGAAATCCTTTTGGAAGAAACTGGAATTAGCAGTCTACTTCTTTGCATTTGTTATTAGAGATTAAAAAATAATATTAAAGAAATAATCTGTAAGACCTCTAACAAACTCATTCCATTCTCTGGTGACTGTGTTAGTTTTGAGGCTTGATGTAAACATTTAAGACACAATAAATAAATGATAAATAAAGTGTTAAATTTTTAAATACTAAGTTACACATATGGATAAAGACCTGCTTAAATCAGAAGACTACTGGGTTGAGGAGTCTCTCAAGGATGATCAGAGAATTCATACAAAAGTCATCCTTTCCATATAATGAAGTAGATGGTATCACTCGATAGAGTGTTTTAGATGAACCTAAAGTGCTGGGAGAGGAATTTTTGTTGGTTGATTTGGGTTGAATGGTGAGCAGCCACCATACAGCTCAAACGAACTATTTCTTGTTGAATGGCATAAAACCACTTCCTTCAGTTCTATACCACAGCCACAGTTTCTTTAAAGAGTAAGGTTTCCTTATCAGGGCTGGAAACCTGAATATTCTAGGGTGATGTCTGAGAAGGGAAAAGACTCAAATGTTTATGGCTTTATTGGATACAAGTGCCCAAGTCAACAACTTGCCAATTCTGATGGAGGTAGGGGCTCCTAGATTTAGCTAATATGGTTTGGAAGGGAAACAAAAGTAACTTGGTGGATGGAACTGTTTAGGTCAGTACAATCAATATACTGTGGTTACTTCTATATCTCAAAGTGTAGTAGTGCTGGGGATGTAGCACAGTGATAAGGTGCTTGCCTAGCATGTGTGAGGCCCTTGGTTCAATCCCCCCATTGCCAAAAAAAAAAAAAAAACCGTAAGAATCAATATGGTATATGCTCTATTTTCCACAAGTCATACAAGGAATTCTCCCAGTCAGGAAGAATGGAATGTGAAGAAGAAGATCAGCTCTTAGCTTACTCTTGGGCTCTTTTACACAGTGGAAACCTTTGGCTTCAGTAGAGGCCTCTGCCTTAAATTCCAGTTTTGGGGTATGTCATCTTGGATTCAACAACTAACAAAATGAAGATAGCCCAGCAAGCCTCAACTAGCGGAATGAAAACTGTTTAAACTGCAGATTCATAGGACCACAGTGTCTTAGCTGTACATGAAACAATAGCAGGCTTTTGTTAAAAGAGAAATTTATCTCCTACTTTGTTCCTGAAACAAAATTTCTGGCTTAGTAGGACCCTCAGTTTGTGGAGGTCAATCTAACTGGGCCTTGTTGGCTAACTTGAAAGCACTAGAATGCTGTATCTGCTTTAATTTGTCTTCATATACTCCAAAATGAAAGTGGTCACTCCTCAGTGAACAGATCACAAGGATTTCTCAACACTGTCCAGTACTTCATTTCATAAACCATGGCCTTACTCTTGGGCTTTTTTACACAGTGCATTCTGATTGACCCTTGGGCTATTGCTGTGGCCTAGCTATTGTAAATTCCAATTAGAAACTATATACAGATTTAAAAAAAAAAAAAAGACCTGCTTAAAAGTATCTTATGTAAAAGCTTTACTTATAAGCTTTAATAAGGGTATTCAATGGCTTTCAAATTTTTTGGGCTGGGATTGTGGCTTAGTGGTAGAGTACTTGTCAGGCAAGCATGAAGCTCTAGATTTGATCCCTGCTCTGTGGTGGTGGTGGTGATTTCTAAATTCTTTTAAACACTACTGCAATGGTACTTTATGGGAGCTACCCCCAAGAGGGGGTTTTGGAAATTTGTAGGTATATTTTTGATTGACATAGTGACTAGAGGAAGATTATCGACATTCAAGAGACTGGGGGAAGAGGGCTAAACTGTTGGGATGCTTTCAACAGTCCTGCAATATGAATAATTATCCCTATGTCCTGTGTACTTTTCCAAAATCATGGCGCATTCACCAAGTGAGAAACCAATTTTTAAATTTTTGAGCCTAGAATTTAACACTTGTATTTTTTGAAAATGGATTAGATATTAATGAATTTTCCAGGAGTGCAACTCTGTGAATTAATACTGGACTTTTAAGGTAAGGCCTTTATTAAGAAGTTATTCAATAATGAGAACAATCACATCATCATCGTGGTAGTGCTATTGGTAGTATTTAGCATGTGGTTATCTGTCTGCCTTTGTAACTGCTATGCTAGTGATGCTAAAGATGCATCTGGTCTAGTGTTTTAATACATATTGTAGGCTCTGGAGAGAGTCTGTTCCCTGGCCTTTTCTAGCTTCCAGAGGCTGCCTCATTCTCAGCTTGTGGCCCCATTCTTCACCTTCAAAGGTGCTGCATAGCACTTTCCAAGCTTTTTCTCTCTCTGATTCTGATCTTTCTGCCTTCCTTTTCTTAGGATCCTGTGATAATACTGGTCTACACAGATAAACTCTTCATCTCAAAATTCTTAGTTAATCACACTCAAATTCCCTTTACCACAATAAGGCAGCATATTCACAGGTCCAGTGATTAGGACATGTATGTCTTTGGTGGGCCGTTATTGAGCTTACTGCACTTACCTTGCAATTGTCACAAGAGTAGGTTTTGGTAAACTTTTCAGTAAGCAATATACAGACTGAATAAGGTACTCAATTTCTTGCTCTGTGCTGATATGGTGAGGAAGTTCTGAATAATCACAGGTTAGACCAGCTTGGTGAACCTGAAAATAAGACAATTAAATTGTACTGTAAGACTGTTGATCTTAAAAGATTCTTTGATCATTAATGGCCCTAACAATAACATATCTTCTAATTTTTATGGATTAGGATTGTTTTCCTTAAAACTTTCTAATCCACAGAGGTTATTTGCATTCTGAAGTTTTGGTAGAATTGGCCTGTACAATTGTCTGGGCCAATATCTTTTTTTAGGAATAATTCTTTACTTCTTTATTTTATGATTATCAGTTTCTCTTTGAGTTGATTTTGATAGTACATATTTTCTGGCAAATTATATGTTTTATTTAGATTTTAAAAGCTGATATAAAAGTGTATATAATATACACACTCCACTTTTTATGCTATTTCATTTACTTTTTAAATACAGGCACTCTATATTACATTCAAAGCTTTGATACAATAGAATGTTTTCCTCCCACTTTAACATATTGTTTTCTTGCATATCCTTTGTATGTATAACCACACATTACCAGTATCTATCTATTTTTTTTTTTTTTTGTGTGTGTGTGTGGTATTGAATCCAGGAGTCCTCTACTACTGAGCTATGTTCCCCTATACCCTCCTGTTTGGGGTACTGGAGCTTGAACACACAGACTTGTGTATGCTAGGTAAGCACTCTACCACTGAACTATATCCCTAACCTCTTTTATTTTTTATTTTGAGACAGGGTCTCTCTAAGTTGCAGAGGCTGGTTTTGAACTTTGCAATCCTTTCTCAACCTCCTAAATAGTTAGGATTACAGGTGTGTACCACTGAGCTTGGCTAGATATGTTTTAAAGATAAATAAATGGTATTCCAGTCTTACTTTATTAAAGTAAATAGGTTTGAAAGCTAGAAGTGGCTTGCAGGCTGTCTTTTTTCAACTTCAACTTTGAAGTTTTGAAAACTGGAATACAAATATATCATAGCTTTATCTAGAGTACATAAGTATAAAACTTAGAAAAACACTCTACTTTACTGGTGGCTTTGGATGTGCGCCAAAGATATAATTGGCAGTGATCAGTTAATGATGGATTCTGCATGTTCTTTTCCACTAAAATGATCAGAGTTCTCACACTACAGCTATAAGCACATCATATTTGATTATGTATCTATGCTGAGTCTCTGCCACCTCTTTTCCCTCAAACATCACACAAAATTCCTCAACAATCAAAATTAAGATGCTATGTAAAGATTAAAGCACACTTGCTTGAAGACATGTTAGATGATATAACAGGAGCTCAAAAGCATTTTCAAACTCTAAGCATCTTCTAACTACATCATTTTTAACAAAAAAGAGCAAACCTTGTTTTAGCTCAGGGTTAACTAAGATATTCTTTGGTGATAAACACACACACATATTCTTCTTATAAATTGAGCATTAAGCCAATACTTAAATGTCAGCTCAAAAAACTGCTCTGATTGTATTTTACAACCAAAGAAAACATTCAACACCTTTTATTGAAGAGAAGCACCAGATAAGAGGCAGAAGACATGCGTGTCTGAGCTCTGGCATAGATCTGAGAAAAGTCAATTGACCTTCTTAAGTCTTAGTTTTTCCTAACTCCAGTACTGAGGAAAATGGGAAAATATATGCTTCAAAAACTGATATAAAAATAGAAGAAATCATAATTAAAAGTATCTTTGGTCACAGCATTCAGATCACTGTTGACTAATAAGAAAGAGCTAACACATTTAAAATGTATCAGCTACTGCTCTTTTACCTTTTCTTGGTTTTTAAAATTAGAGAAGTTTTTTTTCCAAAGAGGAAAAGAAGAGCCAATAGGAGTATAAGTAGGAATTAATAAGGAATGAACAACTTTAGAAATTATGAACTTATTCTTGTCTGGGAAAGAGAGAGATGATCACCAACAAAATAATAATAATAAAAGTATATAGTTCTTTTGCTTCATACATAAAATTTGGAAGAAAATGTTTTTCTTAGAAAACTTTTCAGTATTCTGGCTTCTATAAAATATGTATTTTTTCACTTATTTCTTAATAATTCATTCAGACTTCAGAAAAACAAATAAAAATCAATCACTTTAACAAAAACCAATTTTTTTCCACCCAGGAAACTGTTTTTATAAGAGGTCAACTTTATGTTTTAATATAAAATACTTACCATTTCATAATCTGGCACTTCCATCCGTTTTTTCAAACTCTGTACAAGTGGAACTAGTGATTCCATTCTGAAAAAAAGCCATCCCACTCAATGAAACACCAAAACCACCTCAACTAAAATTACAGTAGCAAATAATACATTACACTTAATATTTACTATAAATAATATGCTTCATACAATGCTTGGAAAGATAAAAACTGTTCAAGTCTTACCTTAAAATACTACGAAATAAGTGTTCTTTATTATCTTATCTACTTTTCCTTATCTATTGCACAGCTCCCAGCCCTACCACCTCCTTCACAATTCCAACAAGAGTCTAAACTCATGATGTTGTAGTATTGTTGAGTCTTCAACTCTGCCCTGGAACTTCCTGCAGATGCTGAAGAACTACCTGGGCATGCTCAGCAGCAGACAGGGTTTCAGTGGAAGGTCTACAGTTGGTTCAGGACTCCAAGGCTTCTGGCCTATTTTTGTTCTTGCTGGTGAAGTTTAAACTCAGCTTAAGACTTCATGGAATCACAAAATAGTGAGTACTTTTCAGTATTTCTAAGAAGACTCATGTCATGAGAGTTATTTATCTCCCTCTTCCATCATAATTTTAAAAAAGAAGCTGGGCGCGGTGGCGCACGCCCATAATCCCAGCAGTTGGGGAAGCTGAACAGAAAGATAGTGAGTTTAAAGCCATCCTCAGCAACTGCGAGGTGCTAAGCAACTCAGTGAGCTGTCTCTAAAACAAATACAAAATAGGGCTGGGGATGTGGCTCAGTGGTCGAGTGCCCCAGTATTCAATTCCTGGTACCAAAAAAAGGAAAAAAAAAAAAAAAAAGAGGGTATCACTTGTAGAACCAGTTCCCTATATTTAAGGAAAAAAAAATCATTAACTGATGTTCAAGTGCCTGATCAATCTTTACTGCTGTGATGAAACAATTAGGCATTATTTTATACCAATTCTTTAATGACAATGACTAAATCTTTATGAATATCTTAAAGTAAAAGTTACAATGAATATTTTGAATAAGTAATACCTGTACATAGCAAAAGAAGGCATCACTTGGTCATATACTTCATCTTTTAGCCATGATTTCTTTCTCCAGAGGCAACCACTGTCCCAGTTTCTGCATTCTTCTGGACAGCTGATGAATTACTTTCAATACCCATCATGACAAATTTGGTAGGTTTGTGATTCTAATTTCTCATGTAATGTTGTTGTTTTATAGCTGATTGTTCTCTACAGTGTAAATAGAAGCAATCTCACAACATGTGGGAGATAGTTTTAAAATAAACTAATTTTGATCTTCCTATGCACATGAGGATAAAAATTTGCCTATGGTTTTTACTCTTCTGGCTCTCTGAGTTTACATGATTTAAAGAATTATTATAAAGAAAAGCAACTATAATATCTATGTTAATACACTTTCATACCAGGTCCAATATTAAAGGATTTCATCCCCCTCCACATTTTCAAAGTAACATTAACAATGAAAGAATCGCCCAAATAAATCACCTGATGAAGAATTAGACTTTAAATCCTGCTCTTAATGGACAGATTGAAAATAAACTCCTTTAGTTATAGTTGGGCTATTCTTTTTTTTTTTTAACTAAAACACAATAATTGTACATATTTATAAGATATAATGTAGTACTTCCATACATGTATATAGTATATAATGATCAAATCAGGGTAACTGGCATACTCATTATCCCAAACATTTATTGGGTTAGTCTTTTTTTGCTACTAGAGTTTGAACCTAGGGGTACTTAACCACTGAGCCATATCCCCAGTCCTTTTTTATTTTGAGACAAGATTTCACTATGTAGCTTAGGGTCTAAGTTGCTGAAGCTGGCTTTGAACTTGAATTCCTCCTGCCTCAGTCTCCTAAGTTGCTAGGATTACAGGCATGTGCCACCATACCTGGCTTGTTAGGTAATTCTTAAAAGGAGCCAAGTTTTCATACTGAAATTTACTTGTCAAGTAAATTTACTTCTCTGTTAAGAGATTAGTTTTTTTGTTCTACTTAGAACAGGGACTGCCCATCTTTAATTCTCCAAAAATCTAGTATAATAACTTACATTTAGGAGCTGCTAATGCACAGTAACAAAAAGATGCCCACTTACGATGCAACTCAGGGCAACTTACTTGAACTCTGTGCCTTGCTTTCCTCTGAATTAAATGGACATAATAAAAATGAATCCCTTGGGATGTGGTTTAGCTCAGTGGTAGAATGCTTGCCTTGCAAGTGTGAGGCACTGGGTTCAATCCTCAGCACCCCCAAAAATAAATAAATAAAAATAAAGATATTAAAAAAAAATAGGTCTTTAAAAAAAATAATGAATCCTACATTGCTATAAGAAACAAAGTTACATAATGCAAGAGAACTCCATAGAGATAGAGCAAACAAAACATTAAATAAATGCTAACTATTATTAGTAAATCTGTGGGGATCAAACCCTGGGCCTCACACATGCTAGGCAAGTAAGTGTTCTACCACTGAGTTACATCTTCAGCACTAATACTCATTTTTAAAAAGCAATATATTTAATACATTTAAAGACACATTTGGAACTGAAAATTGACAAATTTGAGGAAAAAAAAATGTTTGGGAGTCTTACCCAGGGTTTGAAGCCCATTTCTGTACAGTTTCTTCATCATCACCATCACACAAATCAGCAAAAGTTGCTTCTAAATCTTCTAATTGATGAATTCGAGTATCAACAATATCTACCAAATCTTCCTATAAATACATTGAAAAACTAAGATTATGTTGTTATTCCTTCAAAAAACAAGTAGAATCTTATTATAATGAAAACCTTAAGTTCAACTGGTCAATACATGATTTCCAAGTACTAACCATGGGTTATATAACATAACACACACACACACACACACACACGTGCACACACATGAATTTGGGATCCTTTAGTCCTTTGGGATCATTCTAATAAGTTCAAGATATAATTATGATATATGTGATAAATATAAAATTCAGAAAAAACAAATAGTAGATACCTCAGTTAAGTTGCTACTAGGCTTTTTAAACTGGTACAATTCTTGTAAGATTTTGTATTCTTCCTGAAAAACAAAACCAAAATACCTTGTTAATTTTTTCAATGGTATACTTTAAGCAAGCAAACAACAGTCTTGCCTGTGATACAAGGAGAAGATCTTAGATAATTATTCAAAGGGAAAATATGCATTTAAGATTGCAGTTGTAAATATAATTTCTTCAGAGAAACTCTACCCAGCTGGGCATGACAATGAAGTAAAGAAAGCATGGGAGAACAGGTGGCTACTGGGTCATTAGAACATTTTTAATAACATCCCATTATATCAGTGGTTATATTCTAGGATCTAAATTGATTTTAGCTTTTAATATCGATGATATACATATCTATAACAATCACAACAAACTCTCTATGTCCACTGTGCAGCATTTCTCAAGCAACAGAAGAAAACTCTGAGTATTAAGGCAATAGCAGAGCAGACTGGCAGACAATGAACCTCAGTTAGGTGGCTCTATCCCCGACAAGAAAGACGCCTATTACACCTAGACTTTGTAGGAGAAAGTCTTCCCCTTATTTAGTACAACTAGACAGTTCTGTCATGTAGATGGCTATATCTGACTCCAATAATCCTATTTAGGACTACTCTACTGCCAGGAAGAAGTTATAACCAAGAGCTTAAATTATTAAGCACAGTGTTGTGGCACTATCCTTAGTGCTTTACTGATCCAAAAATCCCAAGAGTTGGGACTGATTACTATTCATTTATTTACTTGTAGTGTTGGGGATTGAACTCAGCTCCAACCACTCTACCACTGAGCTACATCACCAGCCTGCTGGTATAATTATTATTTCTACTTTATACTTGAAAAAACACAAGTCAGAAAGGTTAAGTATCTTTCCCAAGATCACACAGTCAGTAAGCATAGATGTAACAAAAACTCTCTGCTCTTTCCACGATACTAAAAAATAAGTTATTAAATTATAAAGTATTATAATAGAAGTTGAGTATCCAAAATGCTTGAAACCAGAAGTATTTCAGATTTCAGAATATTTATAGATTTTACTGGTGTTCTTCATCATGGTGTTCAGCACTTTAGATTTTGGATTTTCAGAGTAGGAATGCTCAATCTGTATATAATTTTTGTTTTAGTTGTAAATGGATATAATATCTTTATTTTATTTATTTATGTGATCCTGAGGAGTGAATTTAGTGCCTCATGCATTCGAGGCAAGTGCTGTACCACTGAGCCAGAACCCTAGCCTCAATCTGTACATAATTTCAAGAGGTTACAAAAACAAACACATAAAATAAAACAGAACATATGACAGAGAATGTGGCCTCAAAAACCTAAAATAACACTATCTGGCTATTTGCAGAAGCTTACTATCCCTAATCTTAAGAGAAATGTTACAGAATTTTCAAGATTTATGGTATAAAAACAGCATATTCAGAGCTGGGCATGGTGGTGCATGCCTATAATCCCAGTGACTTAAGAGGCTAAGCCAGGAGGATCACAAGTTTGGGGCCAGCCTGGGCAACTCAGTGAGACTCTGTCTCAAAATGAAGAAAAGGAGTGCCTCTGGTTCAATCCCTAGTACTACCCCCCCCCGCCCCCCCCCAAACATACAAAATATCATATTTACCTGAGTGAACATTTCTTTAAAGGGATTCTTGACAGAGAAAAAATCTAAGTCAATATCTAAAACAAATGCATCCCCCTGCTTTAAGATTTCCATAATTTCCTTAGTGCTGGCTGTAGTGTGGCATTGCTGACTTTCAGAACATGAACATGATGGCTCCTGGCAAGCCTGGTCACTTCTCTGTGTCATGGTGTCTTTCATCAGTCCTCCTGAATCCAAGTCACAGTTAGCAGAGGCAGTGTTTTCTGCATTTCCCAGTGTTAGTCTGGGCTTCTTTGCAGAAGACACTGCAGCACTTTCTTCTGGATTGTCACAGAGATTACAAGGTTTCACCAAAATCACATCTAATTGTAATGGTTTTTGGTTCTCCAGCTGATCCTCAGGTACATAAAGACCATCACTTAGGAAGTAATAATCTGTACTTGTAACCCTGAAACAGAAGGAAAAACTATTTTAAAGAAGAATGGACAAATTAGCTGACATTGCAGCATTACAGAAATATAAGAAAAGACATATTTGACAAACACTGAGAGCTGCCTTTACCATTTGTACTCCTGTTCTGTAGAAATGGCATTATGCACATTCTTAGCTGGGCACACACAATTTCCCAAAGTAAAGACTATATTTCATATCTATTTTTTAGCTAGATGTGGCTATTTGAGTAAGTACAGTCCAGTGGTTGTGAATGAAGAAAAGTATATACTGCCTTGCTCTCCCTCTCCTTGCTGATTGACAATGAGAACACAAAGGTGCAAAGTTATTTTGGACTATGAGGACTCTAAAGATGGTGAAACATAAAGGCAGAAGGATCATGGTTCCCCAAACTGTGGAGCTGCCACACAGTCTTAGACTGTGCATGCTGAATGCTTACACCAGAAGGAAATAAATCTCTTGTTTAAGCCCATGAGACTTTGGTTTCTCTCATATCAGCTGAATCTTAATCTGAAAAATTTGCTTAAGAGAAAATTAATAACTGGAAATAATTTCTTTTAATAAAAGCTTCCTCTGACATACTTCAAAGCTTCATTAGACTCTATATAACCACTGTATTTTTAACATGAAAAATAACTTAAAACATACCTATACACTTGTAGAATGTATTTCTAAGGTTGAAAATTTCTCTCTTTTTAAGAGACAGATGTCGTTTTGTTGTCCAGCCTGGGCCCCAACTCCTGGGCTCAACTGATTTTCCTGCCTCAACCTCCTGAGTAGCTGGGACTACTGGCTTGTACCACTATGCCTAGCTGGATTTCTGATTCTAGGCACACCAACATGTTCTATTTTCAACTATATTATACCTAGGTAAGAACTTAGAACAATAGAGTCAAATACTTCCAGAGGCATGCCTTATACAACTAAAGTAACAGTATTTATTTCTCACCTGCTCAGACCTAGCATACATAGCTGTAGATTTAGTTTCTAAAAATAGATTAATAACAATAAAACTAATGCCCAAACTTATTAAAAACTTTTATTTGTTACATTTTCTGAAGAAAGATAAAGCTATATTTCCCAGGCTTAATTTATATTCTTTTTCATCATGGAAGTTTTGCTTTGTTCCTAGTTATACAAACACACTCATAAACTTAGGTTGTTTAACCATATGTAATGTGTCTCTTCCATAATATTTTAAATTTTTGAGATGAGGGTCTTGCTATGTTGCCCAGGTTGGTTTTAAACTCCTGAACTCAAGTGATTCTCCCATTTTAGCATCCTGAGTACTGGGACTATAGGCAGTTTCCACCATGCTGTCCTTTCCCATAATTTTTACTTACAGGATTAACTAAAATCATGAAATAATAAAAATAATCCAAATGTCATTATCACATATTAAGTTTTGAATATCTGTCTAGATCATCCAAAATTATTGAATTTGTAGGTTAAATTAGGCTTATTCACTTAGTCAATAAAACTGACTCTTACTCATAGATCAGTATTGTGTACAATATTTAATATTGAATCCTGATTATTTCTTTCAAATTGTACAATAAATACAACTTTTATACCACATAAAATTATTGTGTAAATGGTAAGAACACTTAATACTAATACCAAAGTTAAGAGTATCATTAAAACTATATCAGAAATAAAAAGTATAATTTTCAATGAGACAATTTCATCTTCAATGTATTACCATTTCATCTCATTATCCTTTAGCTTCTAGAAAGTTGTGCTTACACTACTTAAAGTATTCATCTCATCACACAAAAACTTAGAAATTCAAGAACACATAGATATTTCTAAGTATAAACAGAACATCAGTTAAATAAATTATATGACGATAGATGCACATGTAACTCAAGGAAGAGGATGCTATAATTTAACTTAGTCTAAGCTATAATTTAATTAACTAAAACTAATATTAAAATAATATTAAAACCTAAACTCTACTAATTTAGTCATTGTATCTATTAAAAAAAAAAGAAGAGAATCAAAGAAAAAAAATTTGCTCTCTCATTTCCTGTTTGTTACATTCAACACATAATAGTTGCATTGGAAGGAGATAGTAAAATGTACCACTGAATATATAAATATATAAGGAAATTAAGTGACTTGTTGAGTTTAAATCATTGATGAAGGTCAAATTCTAGAAGATGAAGACATTTTATTAAAAAATTAATTTTATGAACAATGAAATATACACAGTACACGACAGAGGTCAAGAGACTTGAAAATCTGCTTTTGGTGTTTTAAAAACTCTTTTTGGAAGAGCTGAGGCTTAATCTGACCCTATTTGTTTATAGAAATACTTAGTTACTACAAAAATCCAAAATAAGATAGAAATATGCAACCCCTTTTGTATTTATAAATATGAGTGAATTACCTGATCGTTGTGGTAGAAGTGTCTTTACCTACTAAAAAGTGGTGTCTGCCTTCTCTGATTTGCTGAGCCCATGTGGGATGAAGCCATATTACGTGAGAAAAATGGCCAGCATAAACTGCAGGCATAATCCAATTTTCAATACTTAATTCTCTGGAAAAGAAATAGGGAAGAAGCATTAAAATTTAAGTGTTTTTTTTTTCCCCGAATGTCATTTGAGCCACAATATTTTGAGAGCAGTCCTCAGAGTGTAGTTCCTTGGGAGGTTCCTGAGATCTTCTGGGTCACAACTATTTTCATAAAAATAATAGGTATAATTTCCCTTTGTGTGTTGACATTTGCACTGCTGGTTCAAGATTAATGGTGGGGTGATGTCCTAAGATTAATCCAGGCAGTGGCACCAAACTCCATGTACACATTTTAAAAGTTCATCAACACTTGTTCTAAATAAAATGAAAATGGCAAAAAGAAAAAACAAAACCCCATGAGCTTAGCAAAGTGTATTTCTCCTCCTCCCCTCCTCCAGTGTTGGGGATTAAACTCAGGACCTTAAGTATACTAGCCAAGAGATCTACCATGAGGGTATACTCATAGGCCCTCTTATTTATCATCTACTGCAAGTTGTATTTCAAACACATAAAAGTTCATCAATAAGAAATCACATTACCCAAAGAGTGTTTCCTTATCAAACACGGTGTCTGCTGGCATATTCACAGGAATAAGGAGGTCTGGATGTGAGTCAAAATGTAAAAAACTTATATTACTGGCAGGAAGATGCTTTGAGCCTATGGCCCGGTATATAAAAGGCAGAACCTATGAAAGACACATACACACATTCAGAAATGGGCACTGAAATCATGAGCATACACTTAAATACATACTAAAAACCAATGTTAAACATAACTGTACATAATTAAAAGCATACCATGTTATTAAAAAGTGAGAGAATAATGGGGCTAGGATTGTGGCTCAGCAGTAGAGTGCTCACCTAGCACGTGGGGGGCCCTGGGATCCTTAGCACCACATTAAAAACAAACAAATAAATAAAATAAAGATATTGTGTCCAACTACAACTGAAAAAAATAAATATTTTTTAAAAAGTGAGAGAATAAAATGCATTTATTGTAGATAGTTCAGATGATGACATCAGGCTTTATTTTGTTCCTATGAACTTACAACTTGCATCTCCAGCTGCTGGTTCTAGCACTGACTGTGTGTTTTCAAGGTAACCTAAATCTCAGGGTCTATAAGGCTTTTTTTCCCCCTTACATCCTCTACAGTTCTAGGTTTAATACTGAATTTGAAAGCATTGCTTAACCGCCACTTTGGCCTTCTCTCAGGCCCATACACACTATATGTAGAGTTTCTGTGTCTTTCTCTTAACTTTTTCCATCCGTAATTTTTTTTTTTTTTTTGGTGCTGGGATATACAACCCAGGACCTCAATCCTCAATGGTATGCGGGGCAGACGCTCTACCTCTGAGCTACACTCTCAGGTCCTCTTTCCCTCTTATATCCCAAAAAAGCGCCATAGCCTATTAATGATTATTTTAAACAAATTTCTTAGATCCATGACACTCCTTTGACGACTCCCTCTAGTTTAAGGCAACGATTTTAATACTGTAAAGGGGAACGGTCATAAAAACGGAAACATCTTTTAACATTCATAAATGCTGGGCACTGTGGTTAGAGATTTATGAATATAATACGCACGAAAACTCCTATCGGCCCTGGGCGTACTATAATTATTGTTCCCATGTCACAGATGAGAGCTGTGTTGTTAGTATAAAGCCTTCTGCTTAAACAGCAAGCAAGCAGGGCTGTGAAAGAGATGCGGGAGACTGGTGCAAAACCGCGCCAATCCAGTGGAGAGCAAGGGGTCTCGGAGTCAGGGCACCTGGGTTCGAAATCCGACTCGTCGGGGCTCTGAGAGATTCTGACCCAGGGCCGTTTAGCCGCCCGCTCACCTCCTGATGATCCTCCACTACCCACACTGGGAGCTTGGAGTAGCACCTGAGGCGAGTGAGCTCTCCCGCAGAGTCACTCATGTCTGCGCGCCCCTCTGTGTCCCAGAGATGCGGAGGAACCCAGGGAGCACCAGAGAACGCCCAAGTCGCTGCCCCGCCACTCTCTCGCGACGGAAATGCGCGCTCACCCGGTTGCGCTTCCGGATTGGAGCACGTAGAGGGCGGGGGGACGGGCGCCAGAGCGCTCGACATGGACGATTGGTTTAGACGTCCATCGCTCTCGTTGACGGGCCAATCAGTGCGCACAAGGCACTGCTGCGTGCCCAAGAGATTTCCCTCCCTTGACCCAGTTTCGCAGGTTTGCTTTTTAATTCCCTCGGTTTCCTGTTCCGGAGGCGCGGGCGGCGCCACTGTCTTGGTGGTTGTACTATTAGCCTGGTTTTTCTCTGACGGCGACCTCGCTCCCGTTTTGTAAGTGAACGCGGCACCTTGCGGGTTGTGGAAGAGGGAGTGTTTCCGAGTGTTGGGATTTAAATCGGGCTGGAGCCCGTGTCTGGGGATGAAAGGCGCCTGAGAGTTGGGGTCAGGCAGCCTTTCTCCAGATCTGCTGCTAGGGCAGGAGAGTGACCCTAGGCCCGGATCTCATTGATAAATAGAATTGAAAAAGGATGGCTTTCATTCATTTGTGGAGTGCACGTGTGGTCCAGGCCCGGGGCCGTCGGAGTTTCCAAAGGGGCACGAGATCTTGATCTTAGGCAAGTCTGGTGCAGCTCACAGCCTGGCGGGAGATGCAAGCTGGTAATAAGCATCAGCTGGATGAAGGTGACGGGGCTGCCGATTGAACCGGGGAGTTAACACTCTTTGTAACTCTTTTTGCATTGGCGTTACTGGACTTATTAATTGTTCAGAACATCTCCCTCAGTTTCCTTGCTTCCGAATAGTAACCTAGGAGTAAGCAGATGCAAGAAACAATTACTTTTCCAGATGCAGTCAATTCCTTGACTTTGAATTCAAGGTTGCACCCAGAACTTTAATTTCATGGTCAGTAGTTTTAGATTTTCGACTATAGAAACATCCAGTAGGATTTCGTAGTAAGCATTCATTTGTTACACATTGTACAGTTGACCACTTCTAGCTTCAGTTCACTCCTTTGTGTTCGCCAAGATCCTGTACATACCTCTTTTGTTTATAGCCTGATATTGGTTTTTTGTTGTTGTTGTTGTTTCGTGGTTCTGGGCATATTATATTTTTAAAAAATACTGTATGAGTTTTCTGAGTCCTGTTGATTCTGTGTCTTACTCATCTTTGAGTTCACAGAGCTGGGACAGTGCATGCATAAAAGAAGGTATGCTTTCTGGGTGGGTTTTCTTTTCTTTTTTCTTTTTTTGGTATCAGGAATTGAACCCAGGGATCTTAATTATGGAGTCACACCCCCAGCCCTTTTTTTATATTTCATTAGAGGCAGGGTCTCCCTGTGTTGCTGAGGGCCTCACTAAGTTGCTGAGGCTGAGTTTGCACTCATGATCCTTCTGCCTCAGCCTCGTGAGTTGCTGGGATTCCAGGCAAGAGCCACCCTTCCTCTGGGTGGGTTTTGATGATGTGAATCTGCTGATACACATGGAAGAAATATGTACAGAAGTGACATAGAGACCATTGATGATCATACCATTGATGAGAAAGTAAAATTTATCGAGCACTTACTGTGTGCAGGATGCTCTGCCAGGGATTGTGAAGAATACAGAAATGACTGAGTCAACCAATGTGTCATCAAGGAGCAAATAATCTAGTGGAAGAGTTTGACTTGTGCACACATGACTGTAACATGAGCCAGTGTCTGGTAAGTGCTGTAAAAGAAGTAAGTACAGACTAAGAGCAGTGGAAGTCTAGAGGGAATGGGATTATTTCCCAAGGGGAATCAAGAAAGGGTGATAGATTGAAATTCATGGGGCAGATTCATAGAGCAAGAGATTTTAAAGGGAATGGGAACAAAGAACAGATTAACTGGGAAAGTGTGGGGTAGTCAGGGCATCATGGGGAAGGTAATAGATTCTATTGGTGGTGTGTGGTCTGTGACAGGAGTTTTTTTTATTAAAAGCATTTTGCTAAAATTCAAATATTTGAAAATCCAGCTATGTTCACAGTGTTCTTCTGTGGGAATAGTAGAGAATGAAAATAATCATAACTGTCATGTTAACATGATTATAAATATTATAAATATATTTAAATGCTGGTCTTAGTGATTTTTGTGTTTGATCTATGCCTTATTTTACAATGAAGGAAGCTTTTGTGTGAAGAGGCAGCAAGGAAATGTTTCTGGTCCCCAGTCTTTTAACAAATTAAAGATGGCTTTAATCTTTTTAGCTGCTGATAGTTTTGAATCAGTAAAAAAAGAAAGACATCTTGGGTTGGGGTAGTGGCTCAGAGGTGGAGTGCTTGCCTAGCATTCGTGAGGCACTGGGTTTGATCCTCAGCACCACTTAAAAATAAAATAAGGTACTGTGTACACCTACAACTAAAAAATAAATGTTAAAAAAAAAAGAAAGACATCTTAAAATTTAGTTGGAAGCCAAATGTTGTAGCATACACTTGTAATCTCAGCCAATAGGCTGGGAAGATCACAAGTTCAAGGCCAGCCTTGGTAATTTAACGAGACCCTGTCTCAAAATAAAATTAAAAAAGCTAGGGACTGGGTGCAGTGGCCATGCCTGTAATCCTAGCGGCCTGGGAAGCTGAGGCAGGAGAATTGCAAATTCAAAGCTAGCCTCAGCACCTTAGTGAGGTCCTACACAACTTAGCAAGACCCTGTCTCTAAATAAAATATAACAAGTGTTGGGGATGTGGCTTGGTAATTAAGTGCCCCTGGGTTCAATCCTGGGTGCCCCCCAAAATAAACAAATAAATAAAAAAAAAGAGCTAAGGGTGTAGCTCAGTGGTAGAGCTTTGCCTAGCATGTGTGAGGCCTTAGGATTGAGCCCTAGTACCCACTGCCAAAAAAAATAATTTTTTTTTTTAGCTGGAAACTTCAGTGCAGTTTAAATGCCCTTAATAGGCTAGATGTGTTGGAGAATAGGAAATCGATGTCAAGATATTTACAAAAATATTTTATAGCACTGGCAGTTTAGAAAACCTGATTATATATATTTTATTCCTTCTATCCTTTAGAACTTATATTCTCTGTGGAAGATGTGACATATCCAGACAGTGCATCATGATGCAAGGCAGTACGTGGTGAGTGGCAGGATATTAGGGATAGCAGTGCTGGGGAGAACAAAGAGAGGAACCAATTCAGGTTTCAGGCCAGAGAGGGTGTAAGGGACTTAGATAAATTGGAAAAGTGGAAAGTGTGCTCATTCTTAATAGTGGGCACGGGAGAACAGAGGTTCATGTACAGGAGTAGGATCCTAGACCAAAAGAGTTAATGAAACATCTAGGGCCCTTCCCTGATGAAGTGTGTGGTTCTGAGGACAAGTAGACAATGAAGGTGGAATTATGTAATTAGTCAGTAGATTATGGTCATTGTAGGACCTGCCAACAGGCAGCACTGTGTTGTGAGAGTAGGGAAACCAAAGAAGGCCCCCAGCAGTGATGGTGCTTAAAAGCCCAGCAAGGATGTTACTGTAGTAGCCAGACAAGAGACAAAGGTGTGAAATGGATTAATTCAGGAAGTATTTATGAGCAAAAGTATCAGTAACTTTTATTTATTTAAAAACTTTGATTAAGCTATAGTGGACACATAAATGATAGGAACTTTTAAAAAAAATTTAAAGGGTGAGAAAAGAAAAGTTGACAGATGATTCCCTGGTATATTGGTTTTGATGACCAGTAAATGGTATCATTTATTAAGATGGGAAATTCTAAGAAAGGAGAATGTATTGTTTTGGAGGGGAAAATCATCATTCATTCCTTTTAGGAAATGTTGAATTGAATTTGTGGAGTCAGGGAGACATTGAAGGAGAGAGGTTGAATTGGTAGTTGGCAGCTTAAGTCTGGAGTTCTTTGGTGGCTAGAGATGTAACTTTCAAAGTTACTGAGATGAGTGGTAACTGAAGCAATACGAGTGGTATGATTACCTTGGAAAAGAGTGAATAGAGTGTTCAGGCTGAATCTCTGAAGAATACCAGCTGATCGGGAGCTGGCACAGGAGGAACAGCTGGAGAGGTAAGAAGGATACAGTGAAAGAGTTGTGTCAGGAATTCAAGGAAAAGATCTCTGAAGGAGGGGGCAATTGGACTGAGTGCCACACAGAGTTTAAGAAGGTGATTGAAAATGGCTATTTGTTTTCAAGACAAGGTGGACACTGCTCAGTTCACTCACTGAAGTGATGGCCACAGCTGAAGTCAGATTAGAGTGAACTGAAAGTATATAATCAGCCTTCCACATTCAGGTTTTCTGCATTCACAATTCAGCCAACTGTAGACTGAACATATTTGGGGGAAAAATGTGAGAAATGTCTTAAGAGCAAAACTTGAATTGGCTGTATGCTGAGCACTATGCTAAATCCATGTGGATGAACCGATGTGTCAGCATATCTGTTGGACACCACAGATCCTGTCTCCAGTATTTGTGTGAGCACTGCATCTTATTTGTGTACTGTGTAGGTAGGTCTATGATAGTTGCATCTGTATGGGACACACAGAAACTTTTTTTCTTGTCATAATTTCCTAAATGATATAGTATAACAATTATTTATGTCACATACATTTTGTTGTAAGTAATGCAGAGGTGATTTTTTTTGGTGGGTGTGGGGGGTTGGGGATTGAATCCAGGACCTCACGCATGCAAAGCATATGTTTTACCACTGAGCAATATCCTGGAGATATTTAAAGTATATAAGAGGATGTGCATAGGTTATGTGCAAATATAATGCCTTGTATTTTGGTATCCATGGGGTTGAGGGTCCTGGCATCAGACCCCTTGAATACCAAGGAATGACTATATGCTCTTGTCTCTGTTAACTTGGGTTGCCATTCCAAAATACTATAGGCAAGGTGGCTTCAGAAAAACATTAATTTCTCATAGTTCTGGAGGCTGGAAGTCCAAGATTAGGGTGCTAATGTGGTTGGACTTTCTTCCATGGGGAGGACCCTTTTCCTGGCTTCTAGGTAATTACCTTTTTGCTATAGTCTCACCTGGCAGAAAGAGAGAGGTATCCTGTCTGTTCCTCTTTTCATAAGGGCA